ATTCTCTTTTCCTGTTCTTTGTTCTTTATTATTTGATGTTTATTCTCTCTCTCTCTCTCTCTCTATATATATATATATATATAGCAATATTTTACATAAGAAAGAAAGCCAAAACTATTATATTTCACAAAGAGAAATTTAGGTGTGCCTGATAGCTTTTAAAACTATAATGTTTAAATGGGTTCTTGAGGAAGTGCATTATTATACTCATTATAAAGGCTACTTCAAAAACTATAACTAAATACCAGGGTTGGTGTCTTCAAATATTCTATCTTCTGATTCAGATTTTTACATACAGGGCCTGTTGAAATTTAAAAGATACATATATGGAGCTTGAAATAAATCTGGCTATTTTGAGCCTTTTTAAATCAAATTAAATTAGACCCAAATTGAGGGAAGTATGTATACTTCTCAAACTGTGTCCTCCAATGCCGACATGATTTGGGAAGAATTTTTGCTCCTTCCACCACAAATTTAAAAAATTTACACCACTTTGCATTAATGATCATCAGCTTAGTTAAAAAGATCTTTACATGAATTGAATGTCCCACTTTTTTCTTTCTGACAAACTTTCCAAGGTACACTTTTACACTATCTCTGTTGAAAAGTCCTCAATTAACATGTTTTCTGAGCCCCATAAACTTATGAGTGTCAGGAAACCCCTAACTATGCCCCAACCCCTTTATTTGAAGAAACTCAACATCTCTTGTACCCCCAAAGTTGTTAATTTACTTTTAAATATTTTTGTTACTCAAAAAATTTAGTGTCAGATAAAATGAGCTAATTTTCTCCATTCGATGTATATTCACAGAGTTATATTTAAACATATTGAAGGCCTGACAGAAAGAATCAAGTCTTGGAGTAGCATCTCTATCGAAGAATACTAAATCAAGCAATCAAAGCTCACTTCAGAATAATGTTGTAAACACTAGAAAAAGGACACATAGTGCTGAATAAGAAGTACTTATTAAGGTCTTCTGTATTTTCCTTCTCTTTCAACTTACCCATAATCTTCATTCTCGGCAGTACAAATCCCTCCACAAGATATGCTTCACCAAGCCCAGCCTGTTCTCCTCCTCTCCTGCTCTCCCCCTCTTCATTTATACATTTTTCATAGTTTTTTTTTTTTTCTCTGTATCACAATGTTCACAGAACTTGGCAACCTAGCAACCAAACAGAACTCTGCAGAGGGTGGGAGGAGGGAATAACTGAAATGGCAAATCTTGAATAGTTTTTAGCTGGCAGGGAAAGGGTAAAGGTTGGAAATAGCCATAAAATAATAAAGTTTACCTCATCACAGATAAAATCCTAAGTATATGCTTTCCCCCAAATTGTTCTGAAAGAAGATATGATTGCCAGATAACGTAAAAGACTTTCAGTAAAATTTGAATTTCTGATAAACAATGAATACTTTTTTAGTATAAGTATGTTCCAAATGCAGTCAAATATGTTTT